TGTCATGTAAAGCAATCAGTTTTCTGACCACAAAATTCAGCAAACTTTTCAATAGCAGTCTTTGGCTCCCTTTTTTTTTTAAGGAGTCTCGCTCTGTCCCCCAGGCTGGAGTGCAATCTGGGCTCACTGCAACCTCTGCCTCCTGGGTTCAAGAGATTATCCTGCCTCAGCCTCCTGAGTAGCTGGGATTACAGGTACCTACCACCACGCCTGGCTAATTTTTTTGTATTTTTAGTAGAGACAGGGTTCATCATGTTGGCCAGGCTGGTTTTGAACTCCTGACCTCAAGTGATCCACCCGCCCTGGCCGCCCAAAGTATTGGGATTACAGGCCTGAGCCACTGCGCCTGGCCAGTTTTTGACTACTGATTTGAGAATTTGAAATGAGAATTGTTAGCTGTTGCTACAAAGGGCTATGGCAATGAAAGCCACCAGCCATAACCAGTAGGAGGTGGTGGCCCCCGTGTTTGTTACTCCTCTCTCTGCTTGATCCACCCACTGCGGCCATCACTGGCATTGGGGGCGGGGGTTTCGAGTTGACCGAAGCCTTGCCTCCCGCACAGTAGCGCTGCAGGGACCAGGTGTCCAGCACCAAGGCCAGCTGGCCAGATGGAAGGTGTGGCTTGGTGGGGCTGCCCAGTGCCGCAGGAGGCCTCATGTCACATGAATCTTTTCCTCTTGACTGGAAGGTAGAGCAGGCAAAAGTCTCTTCTTCCTCGTGCATGGTGGCTGGCAAAGCCACATCGTCCTCTTCTGGTCCAAGCACTAGACTGGGCCTGGGCATGGTTGGTTTCAGGAAACAGAGTGGGCTAGGGGTGCAGGCAGGACTTCGACGCCAACACACGGAAATGAAGACGCATGCTATCCTGTCTTTCCCTGCTCCCATTCCTGCCCACCTTCCATCCTGCCAATGCCAGGCAGCTCGTTCCCTGCCCAGGCAGCCCAGGGAAGTGGAAGGGGCTGCTTCCCTGGAACTCCTGCCCCACACCAGTCAGTCTGCCCACCCAGCCAGCCTGGGAGGGCACTAGGCTAGGAGCTTAGGAGGCCCCTCCCTCGTGTGGGGAGGGTGGGAGCGTCAAGGGGAGGTGTTGGAGCAGAGTTGTGATACGGGGTGGGGTTTTCAAATGATTGGGGCCCAGAAGAGTAAATGACCTGGCGCCACCTCAGGACGAAGGGGTCTGTCTTCACTCCTGCAGGGTAGGCTCGCTGCCCCCTTGCGAAGCTCCTTTGTTGCCTCTTGATCTTTCAATTTTAATTATTGTCATTTACTGCAGACCCTCAGTAAAACTACACAACAACAAACACACATGTGCCTGTCATCTAGATCAAGAAAGAAAACATGACTGGTGCAAATGAAAACCCCCAGGAATACCTCCCTGCTCAGAGGTTACTACTATCCTCAAGTTTCTTTATACCTTTCTCCTTCATAGGTTTGATTTACTTAACAAAATCCAGAATTCAGTTGCATGTAGGATTTTGTTGGTGATTTAACCATTTTAAGCGTAATTCAGTGGCATTAAGTATTTTCACGGTGTTGTGCACTCATCACCACCACTATCCGTTTCCACATTTTTTTCCATCACCTCAAACAGAAGCTCTGTTCCCCCAAACAATAACTCCTTGTTTCCCTTCCCCTCATCCCCTAGTAACCTCTAATCTATTTTCTGTTTCTATGGATTTGTCTGTTCTGGGTAACTCAATGTAAGTGGAATCATACAATATTTGTCCTTTGGTGTCTGGCTTATTTCACTTAGCATAATGTTTTCAAGGTGCAGCCAAGTTGTAGCATGTGACAGAATTTCTTTCCTTTCTAAGGCTGAATAATATGCTATTATATACACACACACACACACACACACACACACACCACATTTTATCTACTCACCTATTTTTGTTTGTTTTTGAGACAGAGTCTCGCTATGTCACCCAGGCTGGAGTGCAGTGGCGCGATCCTGGTTCACTCCATTCTCCTGCCTCAGTCTCCCGAGTAGCTGGGACTACAGGTGCCCGCCACCATGCCCGGCTAATTTTTTGTATTTTTAGTAGAGATGGGGTTTCACCGTGTTAGCCAGGATGGTCTCTATCTCCTGACCTCGTGATCTGCCCGCCTAGACCTCTCAAAGTGCTGGGATTACAGGTGTGAGCCACCACGCCTGGCCCTGCTCACCTGCTGATAGACATTTGAGTTGTTTCCACCTTTTTGCTATCGTGAATAATGATGCTGTAAACATTGGTGTAAGAATATCTGTTCAAGTTTCTGCTTTCAGGTTTTTGGAGTATATACCTAGGAGTGGAATTACTGGATCGCATGGTCTGTGTTTAGCTTTTTGAGGAACTGCTAACCTGTCTTCTACAGAATTTGCAACATTTTACATTCCTACCAGCAGTGTGCAAAGGTTCCCATTTCTCCATATCCTCATCTCATCAACACTTGTTTCCTTCCTTCCTTCCTTCCTTCCTTCCTTCCTTCCTCTTTCTTTCTTTCTTTCTTTCTTTCTTTCTTTCTTTCTTTCTTTCTTTCTTTTTCTTTCTTTTTCTTTCTTTCTTTTCTTCCTTTCCTTTCCCTTTCCCTTTCTTTCCCTTCCTTTCCTTTCCCTTCCTTTCCTTTCCCTTCCTTTCTCTTCCCTTCCTTTCCCTTCCCTTCTTTTCCCTTCCCCTCCTTTCCCTTCCCCTCCTTTCCCTTCCCCTCCTTTCCCTTCTCTTCCCTTCCCTTCCCTTCCTTTCCCTTCGCCTTCCCTTTCCCTTCTCTTTCCCTTTCCTTCCCTTCCCTTTCCCTTTCCCTTCCCTTTCCCTTCCCTTTCCCTTCCCTTTCCCTTTCCCTTTTCCTTTCCCTTTCCTTTCCCTTTCCTTTCCTTCGATGGAGTCTAGCTCTGTTGCCAGGCTGGAGTGCAGTGGCGCCATCTCAGCTCACTGCAACCTTTATTATAGCCATCCTGATGGGTGTGAGGTGGTAATTCACTGTGATTTTGATTTATATTTTCATAATGATTAGTGATGCTGAGCATCTTTTCATGTGTTTATTGGCCATTTGTGTTTCTTTCTTAGAGAATGTCTATTCAAGTCCTTTGGCCATTTTCTATTTGGGTTGTTGTTGAGTTATAGTTTTAAACACATTCTAGATATTAATCTCTTATCAGATATATGGTGTGCAAATATTTTCTCCTATGGATTGTCATTTCATTCTTGAGAGTGTCCTTTGATGCAGTAAATTGTTTAATTTTGATGAAATATAACTTATCTATAGGTAGGGTGACACAAGCACCCCTGTGGCCACCACCACTGGGACTGTGCTGGGTCAGACCTAAAGTCAGTACAGGACTGGGTCTTGCCCAAGGCCTGCGGTAACCACTACGTGGCTACCGTCTATATTCACACAAGGCCCCAGGGCTGTACAGTCAGCCGGCGGTGAAGCCAGCCAGGCTTGTGGCCTTCCCTTTGGGGCGGCAAGTTTCCCCAGGCCCCAGGCAGGTCTAGAGATGCTGTCCAGGAGCCAGCTACTGGAGTCGAAAACCTTAGAAAGCTACCTCATGTTCTGTTCTACTGCAGCTGAGCTGGCACTCTTACCATGTGACACAGTCCTTCCCACTTTTCCCTTGCCTTTCCACAGGCAGAGGGGCCTCACACCATGGCAACCACCACAGGCCCACAGGGAGGACTGCCAGGATACCACCCGCATTCACTTAAAGCCCAAGGGCTCTTCAGTCAGCTTGTGGTGAATGCTGCCAGGCCTGAGACTCACCCTTCAGGGCAGTGGGCTCCCCTGTGGTCCAGGGTTGGTCCGGAAAGGCCACCTAAGAGCCAAGGCCTGGAATCGGGGAACCAAGAGCCCTCTTGGTGCTCTCCTCCACTGTGGCCAGCTGGTGCCTGATTTTTGGTTGCTATGAAATTGCTCCCTTGGTGCAGATAGTTGTCAAACTTGGTGTTCCTGTGGGGTGGGGGATGAGGGGGATGATTGATGGAGCAAATAGAGATTTGCCATCTTGCTCTTCTCCCTGATTTTAGTCTTTTAAGATGTATTAAGACTTGTTTTGTTGCCTAACATATGGTGTCTCCTGCAGAATGTTCCATGTGCACTTGGAAAAAGTGTGTATTCTCTTGTTGTAGTGAATGTTTTGTATATATCTGTTAGGTCTCCAGCTGGTTTATAGTGTTATTCAGATCCTCTGTTTCCTTACTGATCTTCTGTCTGGCTTCTGTCCATTACTGAAATCGGAGTATTGAAGTCTCCAGTTATGATCGTAGGACTGTTTATTTCACCCTTCAAATCTGTCATTGTTTGCTACATGTATTTTGGGGCCCTGATATTTGGTGCATATATGAATTTCATGTTTTAAAACTTCACATATATACAAATTTATGTGAAGATATATATCTATAATCTCATTTAGGCCACAACCTCCTATAATTTTCTTTTTGTGTGCTGAATATATTTTTAGGATTCATCCATGTTGATGTAAGGTGCTATGTTTTCTTCATTTTCACTGCTGTCTGGGGTTTCTTTGTATGACCAACTGAACTATAACTTTTTCTATGTCCTTCGTATTTCCATATACATTTTGAAATCAACATTTCAATTTCCACCAAAAAAAAAAAAAAGCCTGCTGGGATTGGCATTGCATCGAATCTATAAATCAATTTGGGGAAAACTGACATCGTAACAATATTGGGTCTTCCTATTCATGTTGTTTATTTAGGTCATCTTTAACTTCTGTCAATGTGTTGTAGTTTTCAGTATATAGGTCCTGCATGTATTTTAAGTTTATTACTAAGTATATCATGTTTCCTGATGCTCTTGTAAGTGGTATTGTTTTGTCTTGTGGTTACCCATGGAGGATGGGATCAACCCCCCACCACCCAAGGTTGGTTTGAATGTTGAGACTAATGACATCACACACATTACCAAGTGGCTATGATAAGGTTTACTGCTCACATAATGGGGCTTTGTAGGGAGAGCAGGGCAAGCACCCAAGCTGGTCTGTGATGGCTAGTCTGTGAAGGAAGGGGTGAGTGTTCCTGGTTTTTAGTATAGTTTGGGAGTGGAGTCAAGGTGAGAATCCCACACATGAATTGGATTTGCATGACTTGAACCTCCCCATTGATACTCCGGGCAGGAGTGCCAGGGCTTTTTCATTCACTTGCCCAGGTGTGGGGCAAGAGGGGAAGAGGGAGGGATGGAGCTTGAAAGCTGTCAGTAGTCAAACATCAAAAATGGAGTCAGGCTCTATTATAGTTTTAAAATACTTTTTAAAAAGGCAGTTTTAGGCTCACAGCAAAATTGAGAAGATGGTGAAGAGCTTTCCTGTATAAGCTTTGCCCCCACACATACATAATCCTCCCATTAACATCCTCCCACTAAAGTGGTACATTTATTACAAATGATAAACCTATATTGGCACATCATTATCACCTAAAGCCCATAGTTTACATTAGGGTTCACTCTTGGTATTGCACATTCTATAGGTTTGGACAAATATATAATGACCTGTATTCACTACTGTACGGAAAACAGAGTAGTTTCCCGCTCTCAAAATCCTCTTTGGTCTGCCTGTTTATCACTATCCAAACTCCTGGCAACCACTGATCGTTTTACTGTCTCCATAGTTTTGCCTTTTTCAGGATGTAATGTCGTTGAACTCATATGGTTTGTAGCCTTTTCTGATTGGCTTCTTTCACTTAGTAATATGCATTTAAGTTTCCTCCTTGTTTTTTTCATTCTTCCTGGCTCATTTCTTTTTAGCACTAAATGATATTCCATTGTCTGGATGTACCAGTTTATTTATCTGTTCACCTACTGAAGGATATCTTGGTTGCCTCCAGCTTTGGGCAGTTATGAATAAAACTGCTGTAAATATTTATTTCCTGGTTTTTATTTGGACATAGTGTTCACTTCCTTTGGGTAAATACCAAGGAGCACAATTGCTAGATCATATGGTAAGAGTGTGTTGATTTTTACAAGAAATCACCAAACTGTCTTCCAAAGCGGCTGTACCATTTAGCATTCCCACCAGCCATGAATGAAAGTTCCTGTTGCTTCACGTCCTTGTCAGCATTTGATGTTGTCAGTGTCTGGATTTTGACCATTCTAATATGTGTATAGTAGTGTCTCACTGTTGTTTTAATTTGAATTTTCCTGATGACATATGATATGGAGGATCTTCTCATATGCATCTTTGCCATCTGTCTCTCTTCTTTTTTTTTTTTTTTTTTGAGATGGAGTCTCACTCTGTCGCCCAGGCTGGAGTGCAGTGGCCGGATCTCAGCTCACTGCAAGCTCTGCCTCCCGGGTTCCCGCCATTCTCCTGCCTCAGCCTCCCGAGTAGCTGGGACTACAGGTGCCTGCCACCTCGCCCAGCTAATTTTTTTTGTATTTTTTTTAGTAGAGACGGGGTTTCACCGTGTTAACCAGGATGGTCTCGATCTCCTGACCTCGTGATCCACCCGTCTCGGCCTCCCAAAGTGCTGGGATTACAGGCTTGAGCCACCGCGCCTGGCCTGTCTCTCTTCTTTAGTGGGGTGGCTGTTAAGGTCTTTGGGCCATACTTTAATCAGATTATCTGATTGAGTTTTAAGAATATATTTATTTGTGTATTTAATATGCATATATTTATTTGTGTATTTAATGTGCAAAAGATATAAGATATATCTTTTGCAAAGATTTACTCCTAGTCTGTGACTTGTCTTTTAATTCTCTTGATAGTGTCTTTAGCAAAGTAGAAAACTCACATTTGATTGAAGTCTAGCTTATCAATTCTTTCATGGGCTGTGCCTTTGGTGTTATAATACAAAAAGTCATCATCAAACCCAAGGTCATCTAGATGTTATTTCTCCTTTACTATCTTCAAGGAATTTTATAGTTTTATATTTTACATTTAGGTCTGTGATCCATTTTGAGTTAATTTTTGTGCAGGGTGTAAGGTCTTTGTCTATATTTGCTTTGTGTGTGTGTGTGTATGTCTAGTTATTCCAGCTCCCTTTGTTGAGAAGACTTTTCTTGCTCTATTGTGCTGCCTTTGCTGATTTGTCAAAGATCAGTTGACTATGTTTATATGGATCTATTTCTGGGCCCTCTGTTCTGTTCCATTGATCTATTCACCAATATGACACTGTTTTGATAACTGTAACTTTATAGTAAATCTTGAAGTTGAGTAGTGTCAGTCCTCCAACTTTGCTTTTTCACTTTCAGTATTGTGTTGGCCATTCTGGGTCTTTTGCCTCTCCATATATATTTTGAACCAGTTTGTTAATATCTACAAAATAACTTGCTGTGGTTTTGACTGGGACTGCATTGAATTTGTAGATGAAGTTGAGAAGAACTGACATCTTGACAATATTGAGCCTTCCAGTTTGCAAACACGAGATATCTCTCCATTTATTTAGTTTTTAAATTTCATCGGGGTTTCATAGTTTTCCTCATATAGATCTTGTACATATTTTGTTAGATTTATACCTAAGTGTTTCTTTGTGATGCTTATATTTATTTAGGGACAGCGTCTTGCTATCACTTAGGTGGAGGTGCAGTAGTCCAAGCTGGAGGGCTGGAGTGCAGTGGCTCAATCATAGCTCTCTGCAGCCTCAAGCTAGGACTACAGGTATGCACCACCACACCCAATTAATTATTAGTTATTTATTTTTGTAGAAATGGGATATTTAGTGTGTTCTCTCATTGCTATAAGGAACTACCTGAGTCTAAGTAATTTATAAGAAAAGAGATTTAATTGGCTCATGGTTCCACAGGCTTTACAAGAAACATGGCTGGGAAGGCCTCAGGAAACTTACAATCATGGCAGAAGGCGAAGGGGAAGCAGGCATGTCTTACGTGGCTGTAGCAGTAGGAAGAGAGAGAGGAAGGGGAGGTGCCACACACTTGTAAACAACCAGATCTCGTGAGAATTTGCTATCATGAGAACTGCAAGAGGGAAGTCTGCCCCTATAATCCAGTCATGTCCTCCAACATTGGTGATTACAATTCGACAAGAGATTTGGGCAGGGAGACAAATCCAAACCATATCAGATGGGGTCTTGCTATATTGCTCGGGCTGGTCTCAAACTCCTGGCCTCAAGTGATCCTCTCACCTTAGCCTCCCGAAGTGTTGGGAATATATGATCCACTGTGCCCAGCCTGGGGTGCTAATTTAAATGGTATTGTGTTTTTAATTTCAAATTTCACTTATTTGTTGTTAGTATGTAGGAAAGCCATTGGCTTCTATAGATTAACCTTGTATCCTGAAACCTTGCTATAATTGCTTATTAGTTCCAGGAATTTTTGTTGATTCTTTTAGATTTTCTACATAAGCAATTATATTATTAGCAAACAAAGACAGTTTCATTTCTTCCTTCCCAATCTGTGTACCTTTTATTTCCTTTTCTTGTATTATGGCATTAGATAGGACTTCCAGTAAAATACCGAAAAGGAGTGGTTCAAAAGGACATCCTTGCCTCATTCCTGGTTAGTGGGAAAGCTTTGAGTTTTTTTACCATCAGGTAGGATGTTAGTTGTAGGGTTTTTGTAGATATTCTTTACCAAGTTGAGGAAGTTTCCTTCTACTCTTGGTTTACTGAGAGTTTCTATCATTAATGGATGTTAAATTTTGTCAAATGCTTTTTCTGCATCTGTTAATATGATCATGTGAGTTTTCTTTTTCAGCCTGTTGATTATTTTTGAATGTTGAACCAGTCTTGCATACCTGAGATAAAGTCCACTTGGTTGTGGTATATAATTCTTTCTATACATACTTCGATTCAATTTTCTAATATTTTTGTTGAGTGTTTTTATCTATGTTCATGAAAGATATTGGTCTTAGTGTTTTTTTATTGTAATATCTTTGTCTGGTTTTGTTATGAGGGTGATGCTGGCCTCACAGAATGAGTCAGAAAGTAATCCCTCTATTTCTATCTTCTAGAAGAGACTGTACAGTACTGGTATAATTTCTTCCTTAAATGGTTGATAGAAATCACCAGCGAGCTTAGTCAAGCTTGGTGCTGTTTTGGAAGGTTATCAATTGTTGATTCAATTTCTTTAATAGATATTGGCTTATTTGGAGTGTCTTTCTTCTTGTGTGAGTTTTGGCAGCTTGTATCTTTCAAGGAATTAGTCCATTTCATCTAAATTATCATCTACTTTATTTTTAAAGATGTATTCCTGGGTATAGATAACTTTTCAATTTCAGTAAACTAGGACTAGAGGTTTTTTTTTTTTCCTTTTAGTATTTAAAGTTGTCATTCCATTATCTTCTGGATTGCATGTTTTCTGAGAATTTTGCTGTCATTGTTATATTTATTCCTCTGCATATGTTTTTTGTCTGGCTATGTTGATGATTTTCTCTTTATTTCAAAGTTTCAGCAGCCTAACTATGATGTATTTAGATGTGTTTTTGTTTGTACTAATCCTGCTTGAGATGCTCTAATCTTCTTGAATCCATGGTGTTTTGTCTTGCACTACTTTTGGGAAAGTCTCAGCAATTATCTCTTCAAATATTTCTCCTTCCTTGTTCTCTGTCTGTTCTTCTTTCCCCCTGGCTCTCCTTCCCCACTATTTCCCTCTCAGACTCCAGTTATCCGTACTTTAGTTTGATATTGTTCCAGAGTTGTTTTTTCTCTCTTTCCCTCTTTATATTTCCAGATTCTTTTCTGTGCTACATTCAATTAAAAATTGTTCATCTCTAACACTGTGTTTTTTCTTGCATTTATGTTTTTTTCTATAGTTTTCAATGCTTGTCTGAAATTTCCTATCTGTTCAATATGTCATCCACCTTTTCAATTATATCTTTTATAATGTTCACCTTGATTAAAGTCCTTGTTTGATGGGTTCTAACATCTGGGTGCATTACTCCTTTGTCTGTTTCTGTTGATTATTTGCCTTGCTTTTTGGGATGTATCCTGATTTTTTATTGAATACTAGACCTTGTGTGTAACGGGATAGTGGAGACTGAGGTAAACAGTATGCCTAGCAAAGGACCTGTCTTTCATTCTGTTGGGTTGTCAGTGTGGAGTATTGTCAGTCTGGTGGGGGAGTGGTATGGGGCCTGGAGCACTGAAGAGTTCTTCTCAGTGTTCCAGCAGCCTCAGACATACCATTCAGGAAGCCCCGCCACCTCTGTCTCCTATGCCTGTGCAACAGTGGGGAGGAGGAGGAGAACAAGCCTCTGCACTCTAGTGGTAGGCTGCTGTTACTTGATGCAGGGCTTGTGGAAGGGGTGGTGAGATTTATCAGGGTTTCTTTTTGTTTCAGACTCAGTCTTGGGAAGGCCTTGTTGGTCTGAGCCTCATGGGTGGGGTGTTGTCAGGTGTTCTTTTCAGTGGAGGTTTTCATGACATATCCTGTTTTTTTTTTTCCTACTTCTGTGCACTATGCTGGGATTGATTTGAACATTGTTAGGAAAGGGCCCTTTCAAAGCTGTTGCCATTTTTGTTAAACGCTAGCGTTCTACAGAGTGATCTTTGAAGAGTGTAGCTCTGATCCTGACCCTGCTTAAAACTCCTCTAGTGCACTCCATGGCCCCTTGGGTCAAAGGCTTTGAGCGCTACAGTCTTGTGCCTCTCATGCTGATCTTCCTTCAGTTATTTAAGTCTTGTCCTTCTCCCAGGCCCTAAACCATCTGTTTTGAGAGCAGATGTCTTTCTGTGTATTGCTACAGGAACTGGGTGGGGCAGGGAACAGTGCCTAGCACATGGTGGGGGCTGAGCCAGCTGTCTTGAAGGGATGAGTACAAGTACTCTGTTTTCTTTCTCCATTGGAAAGCCCTTCGCTTCCCTGCCTTCCAGCAGGCGAACTCCAGCCCAGTATCCAGGTTCATACACAGGGCACAGGGAAGCATTTTACCCCTCAGTTGGAGGAGGGGCCTTTCTGCTGCCCCACCCCCTGCCCTGTGCCTGTCCATCCTGGTATACACAAAACAGTTCTGAAATTTCTGTGTCTCCCTCACTTCCTCCTCCTAGTTCCTTTGAGCAGCCACCTGGGGCTGGGCCTGCTGCACCCTGCCCCGGCAGGCCGTTGGTGAGCATACCCTGAAACTTTGCCATACGTGCGTGCGGAGTTAAGATTTTTAAAGCCCCTTTTCCTGTTTCAGGGAGAAGTGAGTCATCTCATTCCCCTCCGTGGATCCAAGGACTTGGGCTAGATAGAAGCATGTGGTGTCTCCTGCGAGGCCTGGGCCGGCCTGGAGCCCTGGCACGGGGAGCCCTGGGGCAGCAGCAACCCCTGGGTGCCCGGGCCCTGGCCAGCGCGGGCTCCGAGAGCCGGGACGAGTACAGCTACGTGGTGGTGGGCGCGGGCTCGGCGGGCTGTGTGCTGGCCGGGAGGCTCACAGAGGACCCTGCCGAGCGCGTGCTGCTGCTGGAGGCGGGGCCCAAGGACGTCCGCGCGGGGAGCAAGCGGCTCTTGTGGAGGATCCACATGCCCGCGGCCCTGGTGGCCAACCTGTGCGACAACAGGTACAACTGGTGCTACCACACAGAGGCGCAGCAGGGCCTGGACGGCCGCGTGCTGTACTGGCCACGCGGTCGCGTCTGGGGCGGCTCCTCATCCCTCAACGCCATGGTCTACGTTCGTGGGCACGCCGAGGACTACGAGCGCTGGCAGCGCCAGGGCGCCGGTGGCTGGGACTACGCGCACTGCCTGCCCTACTTCCGCAAGGCGCAGGGCCACGAGCTGGGCGCCAGCCGGTACCGGGGCGCTGATGGCCCGCTGCGGGTGTCCCGGGGCAAGACCAACCACCCGTTGCACTGCGCATTCCTGGAGGCCGCACAGCAGGCCGGCTACCCGCTCACCGAGGACATGAATGGCTTCCAGCAGGAGGGCTTCGGCTGGATGGACATGACCATCCATGAAGGTAGAGGCCTCCCTTCCCATCCGCCTGCCTTTTCTTTAAAAGCACTACCCCTTACCCCAGCCCCACCCATCTCAGCCCATGGCTCCTAGCTCCTGGCTCCAGCATGGTCAGGAGGCATGGGCAGACTGAGGCTGGCATGAGCAGGAAGAGATCTGGCTTAGTATACCCCCCAAGAGTACAACCCAGAGTCTTGAGAGTGACCCAGGACGGTGACCCTAGGCGTTCTCTGCGCCTCTGGCCCGTGTTGGTGTGGATAACAGAGAATCAGCTCTCTGGACAGAGAGCCTAAAGTCCTCTAGGAACTTGCATATGGGGAAACCGAGGCACAGCATGGTGAAGGGCCTTGCTCACAACAGGACAGAGGCAAGCCAGGGCTGACCCGGAGCTCCTGCCTGCCTCTTGAAGGCTCTCACCCCTCTGGCCGTGCTCCTGGTCTCTGTGTCCCCGTTTGAGGGTGAAGGGTACTTTTCCACCTGCGTCCAGGGGACCCCAGGCAGATGTGGACTCAGTAGGGCAGGGTCTTTATGTCTCAGCTTTACTTTGAAGGTGGGACTTGCAGTCAGAGCTGGGCGTATCCACTTTCTCCAGCTCCTTCCTCCGGCCCAGGTGCCACGGGAGGGCAGAGCCGTGCCTGACCACCTCACTCCATCCTGCAGGCAAACGGTGGAGTGCAGCCTGTGCCTACCTGCACCCAGCACTGAGCCGCACCAACCTCAAGGCCGAGGCCCAGACACTTGTGAGCAGGGTGCTGTTTGAGGGCACCCGTGCAGTGGGTGTGGAATATGTCAAGAATGGCCAGAGCCACAGGGTGAGTGGACTGCAGCTGGGGTCCTGGCAGAAGGGGCTGGGCAGTGACCCTGCTGGTCCAGCTCAGAGTGGGCAGGAGTCACGCCCTCACACCTCCAGCCCCACGTGCTCATCCCTGTGATTGGCGTGGGGGAGGGGTGAGTCGCTGATGGCAGTGGGCTGGTGGAGGTGAGGAAGCACCTAGTCCTGCCACCTAGAAAGGGCCTGTGGTATCAGTGCCCGTGTGCCATGCCTAATTCAGAGCTTTCCCCCAGTACCTTCCACACCATTTCAGGGCACTGATCTCACAGAAAGCTATAGGTTTACACTAGAGGTTTTAGAACCCACAAATGTGATCGTACTGTATTTCTGGGGTGTGGGCAGGGGGTCGGATCGTTCTGCAGCTTCACGTGTAGATCTGGTTCACTGCTTGCTCTCTTTAACCACTCACTACCACTCACTTGAATGCCTGCTTTATCTCATGTAAGCCCTCCCCTCCTGTTTCTAAGGCCATCACTACTGTCTAGCTGTAGTTACCTGCTGGTTGCTTTCAAATAGTGACTCAGTGAGCTTCCTCTCCTTGGCTCTGGGGCCTGTTGGGTGTGCCACATGGATTCCACATCCCAAGGCCATGTTCTCATGGTGCTGGCTAGAGCAGGGGCGCTGGTCTGTGAGTCAGGGGAACAGCTGGCTTTTCAGGGAGTGACCTGGCCGGACCTCTTCCAGGCTTACGCCAGCAAGGAGGTGATTCTGAGTGGAGGTGCCATCAACTCTCCACAGCTGCTCATGCTCTCTGGCATCGGGAATGCTGATGACCTCAAGAAACTGGGCATCCCTGTGGTGTGCCACCTACCTGGTGAGCCCCCTTCCTTACTGCTTCCCAGAGGCTGTTTCTGCTCAACAAATGGCTTAGTGTATCTTATTAGCATGGAGTGGGGAGGTGGTGGCAGTCAGTGATCCTTGGAATTGTCACATCGTCCCCGTGAGCCTGAAGGTTTCCCAGGCCTCACTGGACACTGTCAGCCTGGGGCCCGATTCTTGCATTATTTTCCTTCTCCCTCCCGTGGCCGTCCTATTTCACTTGGAGAAGGGCACCCTGCAGCAGCGAGTATCTGCCCATGAAGCCCCGTTGGGTCGGGCATGGGCGTGTCACCAGGGCAACTCTATGGCAAGAGGGGTCCAGGTCTCATCCTTCCATCCACAGCACTTGCTGGCTGCCCTGAGCATGAATGAGGTCAGCTCCGTGCTCCAGAGCCTGCTCTTCATGTTAAGACGTAAACTTTATTTTATAAACTGTCTCTGATGTTCTTGAGGGCCGGACTGTGTCTCTTGCCCTCCTTGATAACCCCACTCCGGGAGAGCTGGGCCTTTGTGCATTTAGGCTTCATCATGAGGGGCCCGGGGAAGTGCTGCTTCATGACGGTGACCTTCCCAGTGTCCCAATAGGCTTGGATGAATTCATGCAAGGGCTGCGTGGCACGACAGGGCTGCTTCCACGCTGTCGTGAGAGTGAGGCTGCTGTCTGCCCCTCTGGCCATCACCATCCAGCGACCGCTCACCAAGCAGTGCCTGCAAGACGTAGGCCCTGCCCTCACATAGGGGGCTGCTGAGAAGGGCTGACAAGGGGCACCCAGAAGCTGTCCTGGGAGTGAGTGACAAGGACAGGTGGCCTTGGCAGCATCTGAGGCAGGCCAGACTTGGCCAGGAGTGCAAGAGTGGCGTCTCTTGGAGGCGGTCTTTAAGCTGAGACCAGGGGACTGAGCAGGAGCTGGTCCAGAAGATAAGTGAATAGGAAAGAATTTTTCAAAACCAGGGGGATATTGAGAAGCAGCTGAGCCCCCTTGGTAGCTATTTTCTTAACCACTCCTTCCCGTGTCAGGGGTTGGCCAGAACCTGCAAGACCACCTGGAGATCTACATTCAGCAGGCATGCACCCGCCCTATCACCCTCCATTCAGCACAGAAGCCCCTGCAGAAGGTCTGCATTGGTCTGGAGTGGCTCTGGAAATTCACAGGTAAGCACGCTCATCAGTAACCTGGGAGGAGACTGTCTGAGCATTGAGACCTCCTTCCTGAGGAGCTGAACAAGGGTTCTGGCCACTGGGCACTGGGTTTGATGCTGAACTATGCCATTTACCTTAGCCCTGATCCTCAGTTTTTCATCTTCAAAATGGGGAGGCACAGTTGCAACCTGACAGGTTGAAACGAGGACCAGAAGCAATAGCACATGCCAAGGAACTTTGCCCAGGGCCTGCGGGAGGTGAGACTCCTCAGGGCTTAGGGGCTGCTCTTCCTTACAGATGGGCAGGGATGGCCTTGTGCTGGACAGCAGGTGAGGTCCAAGGAGCCAGGAGAAAGGTGGAGAGAGGAGACTTTGGAGCTAGACTGCAGAATCAGCATTCATTTTGCAGCCTTTTCCATTTGATTTCTAGCTGCGCCTGGTAGTTTGAAATCCTGCTCATCCACTCAGCCTGTATTTCTCACACACCTGATATGTGCTATGTGCTGTGTGCTGTGCTAGGCGGTGGGAAGACCCAGTAAGGCAGGTGGCGTGGGCGGTGGCAGAATTGGACCAGGTAGAGAGCGGAGCGGATGCCATCCTTTTGGCAAATAGCTGACATTTCATGGTGTGGTGCTGGGTGAGACCCCTGTGGGAGGTGAACAGATGTGGACAGGACTTGGGTCCTGGACTCCACATGCGAGTCCAGGAAAAGGAAGAGCAGCAGCCAGGAGAAAGGAGGGAAACCAGGAGCAGCTGGCCCACCTGCCACGCCCTGACTGGCTCTTCTGCCTCATCCTCTTCTGCTTCTCAGGGAACGGAGCCACTGCCCATCTGGAAACAGGTGGGTTCATCCGCAGCCAGCCTGGGGTCCCCCACCCGGACATCCAGTTCCATTTCCTGCCATCCCAAGTGATTGACCACGGGCGGGTCCCCACTCAGCAGGAGGCTTACCAGGTGAGCAGCTGGAGGAGCCTCAGCTTCTCAGGATGTTTCCTTCCCACCAGGAAGGAAGATGCTCCCATCTTCCAAGACAGCATTCTCCCTGGTGCCATATGGCTGCAGAGTGGGGGACACAGAGGCCTGTCCCCTGCCTTCCAGCTGCCCAGCGTGTCAGTCTGTGTGGCGCGTGCCAAGGGTATGACTGTTCCATGCAGACTAGGTACCGAGCACCAGAAGTGGGACAGACTGGGGGGTGCTGTCTTGGCCCTGGGATCACCACCTCTGAAAGCTTTGAGCCATGGACTATGAGGCCAGGATGAAAGAGTGATTCACTGAGGTGGTTTGTAATCACTCGTGGAGGTAGGTAAACCATGCGGACAAATGCTAACATGCATCTGCTCCCCACTGATTCTGGAAGCAGAGGCCCACCCTGCAGGTAAACCAGGGTTGATGGAGTTCACTGTGGATGTCTATGGAGGGACCATCACTCCTTCCTCTGTGTTCTTCTAGGTACATGTGGGGCCCGTGCGGGGCACAAGTGTGGGCTGGCTCAAACTGAGAAGTGCCAATCCCCAGGACCACCCTGTGATCCAGCCCAACTACTTGTCAACAGGTAATTCACCCACCTGTGTCTTTCTGGGCTTGAAAAAAACGATTGTCTTTGTGGGGTTCCTGTTTATCCCTGAATCATACCCTTGGACTACACTTTCCAAGACACAAGTGACCCTCTGTCATCCCCTGCACCATCACTTTAGGCTGTAAACTTGTAGAGGGAGCCCCGTAGTGTCCCAGGACACGTGAAAGAAATGAAGTCCTGGGGTTTAGACAGTAGGGGAGATTTGCAGCTTTCAGAACAATCTGCTGTGATGTGCAGGGAGATGCGCCGTGCAGGTGCCAGGTCTGTAGGTAGAGCATTTTTCCTGCTGTCACTCTGAGCAGCCTCTAAAAGCAAATGTCATTCCTGGGCCTGCCTCCTTGCATGCAGCAAAAACAAGCACTACCCACTGGGTGGGTTTTGCCCAGCAATGGCTGCAGCGTGCTCACAGCCACACTGTGGCAGGGGCAGGGTGTGTGTACTTATCCCTGCCCTAGCGATAAGTCAGACCCCTGATTGAAACCTGAGCCTCTGGGCAGGCTGTGTCCATGTAGGATGCTACCTTTGAGCTACACGGTACAGTCTAACCAGCTATGGACAGGGGACAAGCAGCCTGCTGGCTCAGTCCCCCACGGCCCTGAACTTTATCCCCAAACACTATCCCCTCAGACAGCTTACAGAGCTTCTCCATGCTGTGAATCTTCCAGTGAGGCCAGCACGGGCAAAAGGAGGGGTCCTCACCTGTTTCTTTTCCTCGACAGAAACTGATATTGAGGATTTCCGTCTGTGTGTGAAGCTCACCAGAGAAATTTTTGCACAGGAAGCCCTGGCTCCGTTCCGAGGGAAAGAGCTCCAGCCAGGAAGCCACGTTCAGTCAGATAAAGAGATAGATGCCTTTGTGCGGGCAAAAGCCGACAGCGCCTACCACCCCTCGTGCACCTGTAAGATGGGCCAGCCCTCCGATCCCACTGCCGTGGTGGATCCGCAGACAAGGGTCCTCGGGGTGGAAAACCTCAGGGTTGTCGATGCCTCCATCATGCCTAGCGTGGTCAGCGGCAACCTGAATGCCCCCACAATCATGATCGCAGAGAAGGCAGCTGACATTATCAAGGGGCGGCCTGTACTCTGGGACAAAGATGTCCCTGTCTACAAGCCCAGGACGCTGGCCACCCAGCGCTAAGACAGTTGCTGCTGGAGGATGACCAGGGAAGCCCCCTGATAAGCCAAGAGGGCCAGCACAGCCCTTGCTCCCAGGTGCCTTCCTGAAACTATCTAGCACACTGGGACCCAGGTGGTACCCTACTCAGTGGCTGAGAATTGGATAAATTCTTGGGAAATGAGACAAGTACTGGGCAGTGAATCGAGCTCCTTTTCCCCAGCCTTTCCCTGTGGGCCATTTGGGGAAGGCCAGCATTCAGGCTCAGATGCTTCTCCCTGCCTCCTGGAGGGACAGAAGGGGAGGATGGTTAACTCCTGCCACATCCTTTGTCTTGTGTTCACATGGCATTCTCTAACCCAGGGCAGTGGTTCCTTCCCAGGCCATGCACAGAGGCTGGGTGCCTGCCAGACCCGCAGAGGGTTCGCCAAGGAAGGGGCATCCTCCTCCTCGAGTTGCAAGCTTTAGCTGAGGCAGTGAGTCACACAGTAGTTAGTTCAGCCTCGGCTGGCACATAAGTCTCCAGTGTCCCTGTTCAGAGGGGAAAGTTGCCTGCTGGTAGAAAAACTGGCTTTTCCATTCTCGCTTTCTAATTTCACTCTCAGAGTAAGGCAGGTAACGGGGGCTTGGCTGGGTCACTCGGAGAGGGGTGTGGCTCTGGTTATTATTAAACTGGGGCCAGGTGCAGTGACTCACACCTGTAATCCCAGCACTTTGGGAAGATCACTTGAGCTCAGGAGTTCAAGACCAGCCTGGGCAACATAGTGAGTCCTTGTCCCTGGAAAACAGTTAGCTCGGCATGGTGGTGTATACCTGTAGTCCCAGCTACTCAGGAGGCTGAGGCGAGAGGATGGCTTGAGTCCAGGAGGTCGAGGCTCCTGTGAACCCTGATTGTACCACTGCACTCCAGCCTGGGTGACAGGGTAAGACCCTGTCTCCAAAAAAAAAAAAAAAAAAAAACCTGAGTTTTTTTGGATCTTATTCAATGGGAGAGGAGTCTGGAGGGAATACCACTTGACTTCACTACCAAAGGTTTTATGACTTAGCAATTTAAGAGGTTTTCCTTTTACCAAGAAATGCGGAAACCCGGAGCAAACCCCACATACCAGATCACTGTTTCCTACTGAAGCAGCTAGCCCGAGAAAGGACTCTCTCATAATGGGCTTGGGAAATGACTTGGCAGCCTGAACCATCCCAGCAGAGGACAAGGATGGTTAATTCTTATTCTCTAGACGTCCACAGGAACAGACTAGGATGGAAAACGCAGTTAAGCACAGCCGTGCACCCTGTTCCTGTAGAAATGCCCCTGTGTGAAAGAAAAATAAATTCAAGATTGGAGTTTTGGAGGAAAAAAAATACAAGCAGCATTTACAACAGCTCTTTGCTCTTTAAATTTCTTACCATTCAATAAAATGATCCAGTCACTTACATTTGAACTGAGATGCCTTCTCCAGACTGTTCTGACAAGGTAATGAAAATAAAATGCACTTGGATTTTTCCAGACATCCACATCCACCATCAAGGTCTGGGAAGAAAAGCATTGTTACATGGAAACCTGCATCTGCACTAGGCTCAGAATAAGGACGGGAGAAAATTGGGGGATTCCAGGCTTTGCTGGGATCTGAGAGGATTGAGGTGGCATGCAGACTCTAGGGGATCCGACGGCCACAACTTAGTTGTGAGAAAACCTAGAAAGGCAGAAGGAAGACGCCCATCACACCTCTCCTTTTAACAATCTTAAGCAGCTCTTGTTTAATCTTACCTGTATTTTAAAAAAAATTTTTGTTCCAAGAGAGGGTCAAGAAAGAAAATTCTAAACTGGCCAAGAGACTTATTTATCCTACGGAGGGTCCCCACCTGCCCCACAGCAGCAGTCCATGGCCATCAGTCACCTGGGTCTCGGGGCTGCCTGCGGGAGTGCAGGCACAGGAGTTGAGGTGCCAGCCTACGGCTGGGAGGGCCTCATGCAGCTCTCCTGCTAGAGCATGTGTGGATTCAGGGGCAGGGGATGGTCCTGGGCCAACCATGACTCTGCTGACCCTTCTTCTCTGGAACAGGCATGGATATGGCAGGGTGACAGTCACTTAGTTCTACCATCTCTGTGTCCCATGGGTGTGTCAGCCTCTGAGACCACAGTGGGTTCAGTCTGGTGGCTGTATTTTAAAATAAGCAAAACATCGTGTGGCAAGGAGCCCATTGGGGGGTGCTGCTTGATTGCACCCAGGCCCTTCTCTCACTCTCAAATACTTAGTCATGTTCTACACAGTCACACAATTTGGCCATAACAGGAATGAGACTCAAAAGAAAAGATGGTAAATGTCATATGTCCAGAACCTGAGAGTTCCCCTGCCATGAAGGGAGCCTTTCACCCCAGGAGGAGAGGCTGTCAGCTGAGGAAGCCAGCATGGGGGAGAAAGGCACTTGCTACACAGTGGGGTGCACAGAGGGTACCCCCCCATCTTCAGTCTCATAGGGAATCGGGCCCCTTGGCAAAAAGCTTGCAGTACCTAAAAACAGAGAAACATGCTTTGCAAAAACGGTTCACAAGCGCACAACAGAATGCTGTGCATGTGCCCAGTGCTCTTGAGAGCCCTGGCCTATTGCAGAAGCCTGTGTTGAAGCCGCTGCACTAGTAGAAGGCAGTTCCTGATGGAATAGGGGACGGGGTGGGCTGTGTGGGAGCCAAGAGCATCTGCCAGCCCAACTGGAGATGGTGAGTTCCTGAAGCAGGAGTTGTAGGCACCCAAACATCTAGTCTTTTCTGCTCATAGCGAAGGTTGCAGACATCATCTCCATGAATTCAAATAGATTCTTCTTGGCTGGGCATGGTGGCTCACGCCTGTAATCCCAGCACTTTGGGAGGCTGAGGCGGGTGGATTACTTGAGGCCAGGAGTTCGAGACCAGCCTCGCCAACATGGTGAAACCCAGTCTCTACTAAAAATACAAAAATTAGTTGGGCATGGTGATGCACGCCTATAGTCCCAGCTACTTGGGAGGCTGATACAGGAGAATCTCTTGAACCTGAGTGGTGGAGGCTGCAGTGAGCCGAGATTGCACCACTGCACTCCACCCTGGGTGACAGAGTGAGACTGTCTCAAAAAAACAACAAAAACCAGATTCTTCTCCAGCCAACCAGGTCCCACCACTCAGAAGTGGTTTCATGCTTCTGCTGATAAGCCAACTTAACATCAGATCCAATACAGATTTCTGTAAAGATAAAATACCATCTCTACTGGCCCTGTTTAGTGGCCCAGGCTGTCCTCACAGGACATCCCTGAGACCACCCTGTCACTCCTGATGTTGGAACCAGAGCCCAGGCCTGCTCCTCATTCTCTCCTGCCCTCCCAGTCCCCAGGAGAGGAGAAGAAATTCTGTTTTAGAGAAATAACCTTTTCAACAAAACATCCCTGGAGTCGGATTTTGAGTTGGGGTGGGCTAGTCAGGGAGTCGGGGCTCTGTGCGTGATGTCAACTAACTGTTTTTATAAACCAGCCAGCTACCCATCATAACAGTAAAAACTTTCATAGGAAATGCAATTGGCAAAGACACGATGCTGATATGTACACAAGGTGAAACTGCTCCAGTTTTTTCATAGCAGGGTCAGCAGTAAAGTGCCCTGGTCCCATCTCACACAGGTGAGCCTGCACCGAAAGGTAACGTGACCCTCACAGCCCACCATGCCTGGCTTTTGCCTAATTCTGAAACTTCTTAGGATAGAGCTGGAAAGTGCCACCTGGTGAAGTGAGATCCAGCTGTCTGGGTGGATATCGGAGTCCATAGGCTGAGCAGAGATGGTTCTCAGTGAGGTTCTCGCTGCCAGTTGACAGTGAAATCATAGCTGCCATTGACATTTTGGGAGATTATGAAAAACATAAGATTAAAGAAACTAAATATATTATTCCTGTGGACACAAAATGTGTATTTTTCAGGTGGGAAGGGAACAAAAAAGGAAAAACATTTCATCTTAAAACTTACCTAAGACAAAGGAAAACAAAAAACCATGCTCTACAACTTCAAATTTTTCTTACAAAGAAAAATTTAATATTCGATGAGAGGTTGAACCAGGCTTAAAGCAGACAGATATTAGGAAGTGGTGCAGCCTGTAAAAACGCCAGTTTGTAAGTACTGACTTTGGAAAAGATCATCGCCTGTACCAGACACTTAGGGTCCTGGTCTGGCGATTTTGGCCTGATGTGAAGCCACACAGTAAGACCAAGACCCAACGGAGAGAGAGACAGAGTCCAAGATAATGTTGACAGTGGTGTAGCCCTTTAGGAGAAATGGTGCTCCCTGCAGCTGGTATTAGGTTACCATTGGCACTGAAGGAACCAGGAGGATAAGAGACAATATCCATAATTTCAGAGCTGCCCTGGCACAGTACCTGCCCCGTCGGAGGCTCTCACTGGCAAATGCCAGCTCTATGCAAGGAGAGCTCCCAAATATAACAAAATTATTACACAGTTTTATTCTGAAGAACATTTTGTATTTTAATAAAAAAGAATTTATGTCAGGAAAGAGTCATTTACAAACCTTGAAGTGTTTTTGCCTGGATCAGAGTAAGAATGTCTTAAGAAGAGGTTTGTAAGGTCTTCATAACAAAGTGGTGTTATTTACAAAAAAAAAAAAAAATCCATTAACAGGTTGTGTATATACTATTAAAAATCTTGGACCAAAATTGCTACCTATCTTTTTGATTGCAGGGAATCCCTGCCAAGGTAACTTGACAGTCGGCATAATTCTGTTGACAGAAAAGGAAGCCTTGATGGTTCTAATTATCCAAAAGTGGGTTTTCATCAGGACATACAGTCAGAGTGTGAGTGCATTCTAATGAAAACTTCAGCCCTCATTCAGTTGCATATAAAAGCCCTCAAAGAGAACACACAGTACAGCAGTTTTGTAAAAGGCAACAATACGATTTGTACAGACCCCGACATTCCAATCCTATAGATCACCATGTTTTTCCTCTGTCCCCCCCACCCCAGCACCCCTTATTTCTTAAGCAGCACCACCAGTCCCCAGAGGACAAGAGCAGCTGTACCCCATCCACTTATGCATTTCTGCACCAGTGATGCAAAAAATGCCCTGGGTGGGCAGCAGAGAAAATCATAACTATGGATACCCAAGGGGCAGAACAGCCGGCTGGACCTGCTCTGTAATTCACTTACCAGAGGGTGGTTCAAGTCAAACAAAACCAAAGACAGTTGCAACCCATGGTGGATCCAAAGGTACGGTATCAAAATCATGGAACTCTTGCCCAAAGAAAAGACTGCAAATAGTCATCTGGTATATCTTGTGGAAAGATAGGTTTATAGTGACTCAAAATATTTTAGAAAAATTTCTGTAGTGTCAAGTTCTTTCAAACTTAAAATTTTACCCCCAGAGGATTTTCACAGAATAAATGAGAATTGGCTCTATTTCTTCTACTTCTGGATAGCCCGAGTAAAAATACTAGTAATTTCTAGATTTCAGTGGGGAACTACAATTATTAGGACCCATGGATATTGCTGCAGTTCAAATACGGTACAGTAATTACAAAATATAGACCATCTCTTTACAAATACAAATTATAGTATATTACAAGTCATGTACAGTAAATCTATAATTTTAAACAAACTAGTGTATCTAAGTTGACCTGGTTGCGAGTGCATTATTATTCCAGTTTACAGTTGCCCTTTAGCGTGACAGTCAGAAACCGACCATCGGAGTGAGATTCTCTTGTGTAAACTGGAGTGACGTCACAGAAAACCTTATTTGTAAGGTCCCATTGCCCTCACAATGATCGCTGGTAGCTGGGTTCTGACGCACTGTATTTCAGAACAGCTAAACAGGAACCAGGATGCAGTGTATTTGGGGGAAAGGGTTTAAAAATGGATATGTTGCGCCCAGTGACTGATATGCTAGACGGATGGCTGAGGTAATGACACAGGTGTGATGATCGTCAT